GACTGTAAGTTTGCTCATGCACAGTTTTATGAATGGGCAGGTATTACAGCATTTTCCAAACAGCAGTGGGACAATGTTTATTTTTAACATTCAGTGTTAAGGTATAAATGAACTAAAAAGTTTAACTCTGTTTACATACCAGGTGTTCCTCTTGTGGAGACATTTTTACTAGATCATTTCACTTGTCCAATTGGGTAGTTTATTGACTCTTGTCAGATTTTTCATCTGAACTTCCTTGTCTGAAATGTTCTATATATTTTAATTTTAAATTGTAAAGGTATGGGTCTCTTGTTAAGTGTCGTCAGAAATGTTCAATTTAATACTGGTCCCTACTAAATACAAAAACACAGACTAGATTTTATCTTTTATCTGAAAAGCAAATGGAGACTTAATCTTGCAAACATCTGAATGTGTTTACTTTTGAAGTTGTGAGAATTTCTGTTGTTTTTCTAGTGCTTCAGAGGAGCTTTAGCAGAAATAATCTTGAAGATCGTTTGCAGAAATAGAGGCTTTCTGAAGTCTGTTCATTTTTAGCTGTATGAAGGGCCCTGTCTCTACAAGAGGAATTGTTTTGAAACCTAGACAAATGACTAAAGACTGTCAGAGTGGAACCAGAGGGGGAAAAAAATGCACCTTTTTTTTTCTCCTCTTCTGTTTTCTGTGTTCTTATTCCTTTGTCAGAGGTTGAGTGTACAAAAGGAGCTGGATCTATATGTCAGTTCTTGGTAGTGGTATTAGAACCGCTTGACTTCCTGCTTTATGAGAAAGGGTTAGGTCTGAGACACTTAGCTGAAACTTGCTTCAACTGATTTAAATGTTCTTAGCATGTTGCTCTGCATGATAACTGTCTTGGATACAAGGTCAGTCTAACCCAGTATCTGTTCTCCAACAGAGGGCAACATCAGACCTCTAGTAAACACCTCTGGTCTAGTATTGGTTCTTGACGTGGAAAAAGAGCTAAGGTCCAGATCCAGCACACTTAGGAGTGATGTTATATAGGCATTGAGTAGTAGCATTTAATCCTTCTTATCTGTGTTTTGGAAATCGTATGAGAACTTTCGAACAGCTATTGCTTATGTAGGAATAAAATGTAATAACTTGCCTTCAGTGAAAAGCTGCTCTGATGGGAATATATTTTAGTGCCTAAAGAATTGCCACTAACTTCATGGCATTTTTTTTAATGCTTTCAAGTATAGCAAGTTGGCAATACTTATTTTCAGCAGTATGAACAAAGTCCTCTTATTCTCTGGTGTGCAGCGTGTGGATCCTCTCTTTCCTTCTCAACCAAGCTCTTGACAGCTACAGACTTCACCTCGATTTCATAGTGAATCACTGTATGCAATTTCCAGTATTGAACAAGGGGAAGGAAGCTGTTCCTGGTCTTGTGAAGTGAGGCTGAACATGAATGGGGCTTCACAATGTGACTGGAGCTTCACAGGAGAATGCAAAGCCATTGGGCTGCCAAATTTTACTAGCATTTGCTGAGGGGGAGTTTCGTTGTTAATGACACTGGGCAGCAGATGGTCTTAAAAGAGTTGTTAAGACACTGTAGATCGTACTGTAAATATGTGGGTGCATGGAACTGGGATGCTGACAGTTCACTCTCTCAGCTCATCATGAGAAGGTGACTCGAGTGGAATTCAGTATTGCCAGAACATGAATTTCTTGGTATTTGGCAGTCTGCTGTAGAGCTGGGAAGAATTTTGCAACATAACAGTGGAATGGTAGTCGGGATGCACTTAGCTGTGTAAGGTTCAGATCAGAAAACATTATATGCCTGGTTGATCTTGTTTGACCACTGCTCATCTTTAGACCTGAAGGTACTGAGCCTGTGCAGTTTAGCTACAAGACCAGTACAGAAGTTAATTTCAGTCTTCTGTTTTTCTTTTGAATCCAGGAGAGAATTCTTCATGTTACAGGTGAATTTGAACTGTTGAACCAGAACAGGAAAAAGTCCTCTCCCTGCCCCCACCTTACCACAAGCCTGGCCTCGACCCGCTCTTC